ACCACACACACACACACACACACACACACATATATATATATAGTACATGAGGACGACAACGAAGGAGGAAAAAATGTAAAGCATGGCTCATTATGAAAATATATGGTAACTGCTTCCAACAAAAGTACCAACAAAATATACACCTCTAAATCTCCCACCCATGAGCAAAAATGCATGCAGATTAATATAAATTGAAGTAGGTCCAGATTAAGCAAATGAAATACATATTGAAACACCAAAACAGAAATATTACTTGAATAAATTTTGATTCAAACTGAATAGGGCCTAGAAAAACCCATTTGAAACTTTTCGTGAAAACAGCAAAAGGAAACGCAAACAAAGGCTTACATATATATCCACACACACACAAAAATAAACCTACAAACACAAACAGGAAACCCCGCGCGACCACCACCACCACCACCACTTCCTTCCCTTTTTTTTCCCTCAATCTCCCACCCATGAACCCGCCAGCGCCGCCGCCCCAAGATCGGGAACCCCTACACCAATACTGCGCAAGATATGGAAACCCCCGAGATCAGGAAATACATAGCAGAGCAAAGAAATGATTTCCTTTTCCTAAAATCCATCAATCAAGAGAACAATCTGGTAATAACACACAGAATAAAGCTGGAACAAATATTAATCCACATGTTGATAGAATCGAATAAAGAAAAAAAAAACACTTACGGTGAAAACAGAAGCAAAATGGAGAGAATGGGTGACTGAGGGACAGAGGGAGGCGTGATCGAGAGACTGTGTGACTGAGGGTGAGGGAGGCAAGATCGACGGAGGCGAGATCGAGGCTTGGGAGGCTTGAAGTGAGGAAGGATTTGGGACTCAAGCGGAGGCGAGATCGAGGCGACTCATGCGAGGAAGGATTTGGGAGGCGAGGGAGGCTTGAAGTGAAACTGGAGGGGAGGCTGCGACCTGCGAGGAAGGAACTTAGGATTACAAACTCGGGCGGGTCGGGGCAACTCGGGTGAAATGTTGCCCGCCCCGCGACCCAACCCGCACATTGCGGGTTAGGCCTATTTAAATCTGATTTTTTTTAAAAAATAACCCTATATTTTCAGGTTGAATCAGGTCGGATTCGGACTCAATTCTTACACCCCTAATTGTCATTCAGTTAATTAAAAAATTCATAATAACACTTTATTATTTTGAAGGATATATAAAATAGACTTGAAAAAACTATGTACTTTTCTCTGCAGAATATATCTCATAAAGATGTCCTACAATAGGAGTACTCGAAAAAAGAAATATACTTTTTGATCCATGGGAATTCTTAACGCATAAAGCAGCATCAACAGTAAGTTGATCAGTTACCAATTATATTTTTATTATTAAATTTCATCCACCAAATGAGGGTTCAAATCAAGTGTCTAATATCAGTGGTACAGTTTAATCAATTAGATTTTACCGCATTATTTAAAAAATTGAAATAACTTTTTAACATTCTTTTTACTTTGATATTTAAATTTATTAATGACATGTCTTATTGTGATTTATTAGACATAAACTGAGATATAAAAAATTGAACAAAAAATTTAAGTCCATCAAATGATATGCTCTCTTATTTTGTTCAGTTAACTTTATAATTCTATAGATAGTTGGACAACTTCCTTCGAGCTAGATATGATCATTTAATGTTAACCTGTATGTAATGGAAATTTTTTCATTTTTTTTTTCTAAGAGCAAAACAAGGAGAATTTTTGGTAGTGAAGAAAAAAGAAATACCCTATTTGTAACGCATAGTTTTGAATCTTTCATCAAATTTGATCAAATTTTCATACTTTTTGACTTTGATATGTTTCAAAAATTTAGAATTAAAGGTGAGCGCAGTGCAGTTTGAATGGTTATATCCCAAAAATTTGACCAAACCACAAGTACAGTTAAAGAAGTTTTTAACCATGATCGAAAAAAGTTAAATGCATAGCACACCAAATTACCAAAGTTAAATGCAATGCGAGTTCTGGGGTGTAGGCCTTAGAGGTTAACAAATTTAGACCAAGTAAATAACATTAGTACATAATCTGTATAAACAATTTAATCAATATTCATAAAGAAATACTCATCTTAGACCATACCTCCAATACAAATATCAATGTTACTGCTATATATTTACCCAAAAAAAAAAATCAAAATAACATAATATGCTATTTTAGTTTGTGTTCCAACGCATGAGACTATTCTAAATTCTAAATTTACTTTTGTCATTATTATCATGTTTTGAAACATAATATTAAAATAATTAACAAAAACAATATTGTTGTAATTATTAAATAAAAAGTTAATATATTAATAAATTACTGATAAAGTTGTCCTTCCATAGGAGTACTCAAAATAATAATAATAAAAAAAAGATACTTTTTGAATTTTGATCCAGTGAAATTCTTAAACGCACAAATCAACATCAACAGTCAGTTAATCAGTTACCAATTATATGTACATTTTTTTACTGACTTTCATACACCGAATGATGTCTTATTTTGTTTAGTCAACTTTATAATGTCTTGAGTTGAGACTTTAACAACACTACCCGTCGACACACACGAAGATAAAAATTAATACAAATCATTTTCTCCTTGTGATCGCTACATTATATATAACGCCAAACGCTTAAAAGATTTTTAACGGAAGAAATAGAAAAAGGGAAAAAAAATAATGATTTTTCTCTAATGAACTCATATGTCATATGGGTACATAAGCATGGGACGAGACAAGTGGTTTTTCAAGTAGTTTCTCTGTGGCTGAGAGGTATCGACCAATGGTAATGTGTATATAGGCAGGTCCCGTAATTCTAGTATGCGGTTGAATTTTCAGCTGGCCAGATATGGAGTCCTCTTAAACGGCCCCATAAGACATAAACAATATTGTATGCATTACTTTGGAGTATATATATTACTATTGTGTGTGTGTGTATATATATATATATATATATTGCAAAATCTAATATATATCATAATGAAATTGTAGCTTGTGGAATATATCAAATCACTCAAGAGAGAATGTTGAAAGAAAAAGGCCTTATAAAATTCAAACTTGAACAAAAATTGCCGATTCTGTGTGTGAGTTTTAAGGGATTCTGTCTTTTTTTATTTATCCCTATGCAAAGTCGAGCCAAATTTTGTGGGGTCAAAGTTGAACTTACCAGAAGTGGGTAGCTAGAAGAAAACAGGCCAATAGTTGAAACACTTTCACATGCAAAAAAGTGCTTAAAAATTTTAGGCACCATCAATATGATGGGTATGGAGTCGTTGGGACCCATGCTCCCAATAGATCAATCTTAATTTGTAAAACAAAATTCTGCAATCAGACGGCCTGAAATCCATCTAAGATGTGTGTGTGTCATAATTAATGTCCATAAAGATGCATATGCAATATTAAATCCCCCCTAAATGGACCCTCCCCACCCCATACCTCACATGTTGCCCACTTACGCTCACATCTCAACCTCTATTTATTGGGAGGGACACATTTTGGATGGGACATTTATCAAAAATTTTAACATGCCACAACAAACTTAGTTAAATAACTCTCTCTATATATCTTATTTACTTGTAGCAACACTTTGGTAGGGTCACTAAATGGTCCAAGGTCAAGATGATATTATGAACATCAAATCAATCATTTATAGATAATTGAATCCGTATTTTGATGAAGAGATAGGCATGAACCAAATTTCTTGGTGTCATGATATTAATTTAGAATCTTACAATTTACTTTCAAGTGAATCCCTCTACAAGTACCACTACAAAGTGAAAAGGAACATGGCAAATAACTCACTCTCATCATTTAACCTCGGAAGCATTAATGGAAAGGTGTTGCCCTCTCAGCTGCCAATATTTTTACTTATTTATGATTTTTTTTTTTTTCAAAATAAACTGAATGTCATGGAAAATACATGTCAGGATTTAGATTTTTTTATTTATTAGCAGAGAAGGAGCTTCACCTTCCTCAAAGCTAATTCAGAAAACCTAAACCCACAAACGATAAAGTAAATAAAAAATAAAAAAAAAGAATCCATCACTTTCACTTTCCAATGAAAGCCCCAACCCACATGATCTTGCTTGGGATATTGAAAGATCACAACCCTCTCTCAAAAGAAGATTTTGCTATGCCCCATTTCCCACCTTCTTCTCCCAATTCACTCTAATTTTACAGTCATTTCTCTCTCACACACACACTAAAAAGAAATGACCCAATTTTAGTAGCCTCCGGCCTCCGCCACCTACTGTATACATTAGTGATCAGGAGATATTCAGTCTCAAACGGACATGTATCGTTCTCTGAGTAGAGCCACGTGTTCCATGTCACCCCCTTGCAAAAGGGTTTGGTTTTTGCTCACTTGGGAGTTTTTAATCATGCACTAACATGTGTTTGTCATCTACAATCCCTTAGGCCATTAACTAATTTCAAACCCAACCAAGAATTATTGAATTTGGTGACTTGGGAAGCCAAGGAAGATGGGGGTCCCTAAATAATGATACCCAAAAGGCAAAGTACAGATAGAAGGTGCAATTATTCATGCCATGGATTTCATCCTAGGCAAGTTAGAAAAAAAATTGCCCCCAATAATCTATCAAAAACCAGCCAATTCCGCTATATATTACCCAAAAAAATCCCTCCTAATAATCAATGAACATTATTTCTTATAAGCAATTAGGTTTTCATTCAATTCCATCAGATTTTTATACTATTCACATGATAACGACCCTAAAAAAAATGTACCCTTAGTAGGTGTTGCCTACCACACAAATCATTTTAAAAAAAAAAACACTACTTTATTTTAGTTATTTATTTTTTTTATAAAAAGAACCCAATAAATATAATAAAAGCGTCATTCGGTATAAAAAATTTTAAGGTCACTGATTCCCACTCATATAAAGGGGAGAATTGACGAAAAAAAGGAAAACAAAAGAAAGATTAAAAAAAAATTAAGAAAAAGAGACTTCTCTTTCTCATTCACTTAACCCCTTTCTCTCTCTCTTCTTATATTTTTCTTTTTCATCCTCTCCTCTTCCGCTCTCTCAACACCCATCTCTCTCTCATCTCTCTCCAATGAGAGAGATCATCAGTACTCCTCAGAATAGTAAGATCATCAGAAAGCTGCAACAAGAGATCAAAAGGCCAACAGAAAACAACAACAACAAATATATATAATTAGCAGCTATATATAAACACACATATACATATATATATATATAGCCATGAAAAACACCATAAGATGTTGCATCTCTTGCATTCTCCCCTGTGGAGCCCTTGACGTGGTCCGAATCGTCCACTCCAACGGTCGCGTGGAGGAGATCAGCGGCACCATCCGCGCCGGCGAGGTCATGAAGGCCCACCCCAAACACGTCCTCAAGAAACCCTCCACCTCCCCCTCCGAAGACGGCATCGTTCCCAAGATCGTCGTCGTCCCTCCCGACGCCGAGCTCCAGCGCGGCAAGATTTACTTCCTCATGCCCCTCCCTCCTTCCTCGTCGGCGCCGGAGAAGAAGGCGCGACAAAAATCCTCATCCTCCAAAAAAAGAATAAGAGAGACTGGTACTAATGACATAATTAGTACTAGTTCTGATCATCGTCGTCGCGGTCGCCATCATCAAAGCAATGACTCCACTGTTACTGCTACTACTGCTTCGATAGCGATGGCGAATGTTAACCTACTGATCTCCGATCAGTATTTGAGCGAAATACTCTCCGAGAAGCTCTCGACGCAGAGGGATCGCCGGCGAGGACGCGCCGCCGTTTGGCGGCCCCACTTAGAGAGCATATCTGAGTCGCCGACTGATATTGGTCCTTGATGAATATGGCCGGTCGACCAGGCGGTTTTTCTTCTCTTTTCAATTTTCTTGTTATATTTATTCATTTTCCGCTCGGAGGTTCATGATCAAAATTGTTCAGTAGGGCTAGCTCCCAGAAACTTCTTCTTCTTCTTGTTTTTCTTTAATTTTCTCTTTTTGTAAATATAGTAATAGAGAAAACAATAATTACGCAAAAAAAAAAAAGGGGTTCATCATGATCATCACAAGGTCTCAAATCTGCACTTTGATGAATCTTACGTTAAATTTTATAAAAGGGGCATAAGTGATGCATAGTTTTGCTTCGTCAAATTGAAGTGTACTCATGTGTTTCTTATTACATTATTTTTCATTAACAGAGTTAATAAATTATCTGTAATTTTGGATAGGGGAAATGGAATTATGATTAAGAGATCCAAAGGAAACTTTAATTTACTTTATAATTAATCTCCATCATGGGTTTTGTTTTGTTTTGTTTTTTTGATTGATTTGTATGTTTTTGTGGATGGAATTAGAGTCTAATTATGATCTTGAAGGAATATATTATAAAAGAGTACCATTGTTAGTTGTTATAAGGGATCCGAGCTACAATCTGTTTCAGTATCTGGCATCATAATCCGAATTGAAAAAAAAAAAAAAAAAAAAAGTTGAAGGTGATTTTTGATGTGATCGTTGCAAAAAACCATTGAAATAATAATTCATAACAATCTTGTTAACTTTATGCTCATTACTTTACTTCGTTAACAAATGATTCAATAGTTCGCGGGTGTCGGTTGTTCTTTACATTGTAATGATGTAATCATTACATCATTGCCAGTATGGATGGAGAATTGTGAATTAGTTATCCAAAAGTACTTTATATATACACACGAATAATTTTGAAAAAACAATTATGGTATAAAAGATTTTCTATGAACATGTTGTGCACATGTTTATTATAGCACCGATATTTCATTTAAGATAAACAAATAGGTTTACCGAAAAATATTAACTTGATGACAATCAATTAAAGAATTAATTAAGGATCATTAATATTATGCTTAAAAATAACCGATCGGGTTGTATAAAATAAAATAAAATGATCGATGGAGTACGTTTCAGAGAGCTTTACCCGGGAATTTAATTTGGCCATTCTTTGAAAAAAAAAAAAAAAAAAAAAGTGATTCATCTTGTTTGTTGCCCTTTCCCTTTAATTTGGCCATTTTTTGAAAAAAAAAAAAAAAAAAAAAAAAGGGATTCATCTTGTTTGTTGCTTTTTCCCTTTTCTATTTATACTTCGTATATTTGTATCTTGGTGGGTTTGTTCAATTTTCTAAAAAAATAATTGTACGTACCCTTAGTTTAAGTGGATGGTGGAAAGGCCTTAAGTGGGTTATTATAATGCCAACCCACTTTGTATTTAAGGGACCCACTTTGTATTTTTTTTCTGAAATAGAAAACTAAACAAACTAAAATAAAAATTAATTAAATTAATTAATATGATTAATAGTGTCCCTTGAAGTGGATAGAATTATAGTCCCCACATAGCTATATAGCTTTCCACCAAAGGAATAATGCAATTCTATATTGCACTGTAAAGTGGGAATACATTGTATAGTATAGATGCATTTAAGCAATATTTTTGTTCTCTTGGATGATTAGATATTATGGAGATGGCATCCTGTAAAGGTAATCACTACATAGTGGTTTTGACCTTTTACAATATTGGCTGGATGTCAGATGTTTGGGGCCTTGAATTAGCCCACACATATGTTCTAAAATACTACATGCATTTTGGATTTTTAGGTGCATTTACGTGGAAAAGATTACTTTACTCTATTAATGAGAACTTTGTTTTAATTATTGGATTAGTTTTTTAACAATTTAATTTAGAGTAGAAATAATTATGTGTCATGCTCTACTCTGTAAATTTTTAATGTGATTAAATCTGTTAAAAAATTAGTCCAACAATTAAATAAATAATTTTGACCGATGGAGTAAAATAACCGTCTTCACCCTAAATATTTCCATTTTATTAATAGTTCCACCATATTTGAGGGCCAACAAGGAAAGATGACAGAGTGATCCGATAAGATTGAAATATGTAATCCATCCAAATTGATCTCATGGCACGTCAAGTACTGCAAGTGGGTACTGATCATGAGTTGTGTCAAAAGCTTTTTTTTGTGTGTGTAGTTTTTCTTTTTCTTTCCTTTTTTTTTTTGAGAGAGAGAAGATTATGATAATGTTTCATGATATTCGTCAAATGACAATACTAATCAGTACATGATAACACCATTTTCTTGTGATCAGCTAGGAGGGACAAGATTATACTTGCTGCAGCCAGTAATACTCAAAGTTATAAACGTACTAAAATTTTAGCTCGACATTTAACATATGTGTGTTAGCGGCAAGATATAATTTGTTTTTAGCTGATTATAACTAACATGTATATCAGATAGATACATATATATATATATATATAAATATATATATATATATATGCTGACGGTGCTGCTACTAGAATTCTTCACTAAGTAGTTTGAACATAATTGGACATATGTGGTTAATTCATTATTGGCATATATATAGAAGTTTCTTGAAGATTTAAACCTTGTTGGAATTTGGCTATGAATTACCTTTGCAGTATATGATCTCCTTCGTTGTGTTTCATTAGAAGGAAATTCAGCTGCAAACAAGCTTTTGTCACAACCAATTTATCTTTCTTTAGAGTAGTGGTGATGGTCTTTCCTAGATTTATATTCTTCTCATATCAACAGAGACATGTCAAATCTCTCGAATTATAAATTTGCCTCTTATTATTATTGTCGCTGATGTCACAGACAGTATTATAACACTTTACTGTAATACTGTTTTAACAGAAAATCTGAAATTAAACCAGCAAAACAGCAAAGCAAGAAAAATAATGCAGAAACATATAAAGGACACCGGAAAGCAAAGATTGATGTGCAAAATAAATTTTCTAGACGTGTGTGGGTAAGAAAATCTTATTTAAGGTGTCATGGGGCTTACACTTCTTTCCTAGACGTGTGTGGGTAAGAAAATCTGATTTAAGGTGTCATGCGGCTTACACTTCTTTTAAAGCATGTACTACTAACTCTGAATATTATGGTAATGGTCACAATAAGTTTTTGATAGGTGATAAAAGCAATATGCATGGGAGAATATCTTACTCAGGGGGAGTAAGACTCGTAAAGGATTCAGGGGGAGCGATTTGTAAAAATCAATGAATTGGAACGTGATATGCAGTAAAGTGTTGCATTTCAACACTTTCTACGACAACAGTTTCTAAAAGTTTTATTATTATTATTATTATTTATTTTGGTTTATTTTTGTCAAAAAGGGGGAAAACATTGTACTTTTATGACTTTAGTTGGTAATGTGTTGGCATTGATTGTAAAAAATCAAAAACAGGTACATTTGGCAACTTATGTTTATGGAGAAGATTATAGGTGATTTTGGTTGCTAATTGATCCGAATTTAGAATGGTTTTGTTGATGGAAATCAATATTTGGAAGGACATTTTAGAGAAGATTTGGAAGATTTGATTGACATATTATAATTAGGAGATTTACAGATTTGTTGGAGAAAATGTGCTCATATGGAAAAGTGATTTGTTGCATAATTGATTTGAAGAGATTTGAAGAGATATCTTGGATATTTTGATTTGGAGTATAAATGGTATTGATCTTGGTGTCAAAGTAGTATATGCTGCTTGTGCTTTGCAAAATAAAAAAAAATCTGGATTGGTGCTATTGCTATATATGTAGCATGTGTGTACGTGAAGTGATAGTCTTGGAAGAGAAAAAATGAGCCTTTGTGTTTTATGGTTTTAAAAAAGCAATTCAAGGTCATATTATGCGGCATGGTTTTTATAGAAGAAATATTTAGAAAAAGTCTATGTAAGAGTGAGCCTTTATGTGTTGATTGAAGATCGTCCTTCGGGAGAAGGATTAGAAGCTTTCAGGAGAAAGCGCACTGCCAGCCGAAGGGATTTCGCCATGCAGTTTGAAGACAAGTGGTTCTCGTTGGACAAGGTTATTAAGGAGATTCGACATGGTGGCGACAATGTCAATGAGGGAGTCTTTGGGTGTATAAGTCCGATTGGTGTTTGTAATCCTTTGATCTTAGTGGCTTGTTCACTGTCTGGGCGTGGCCCCGCAGAGTAGTTGTGTGCACCAAACTACGATACCATTTTCGTGTCTTCTTTATGCTTTCTGTTATTTTATTGTACTCATAATCACTGGAACTAAATTAAAAGAAAAATAGATCTATCTATACTTTTACTGTCATCAGTGTTACAATAAGTGTTGCAACACTCTTTGTGACACCAACCTAAAAGCGGACCTAACAATTAGTATCAGAGCCAGGCTCACTAACCCTTTGTTTGGTGAGATATTGGGAGTTGGTCTGTTGTAGCAGGGATGGATTTTCTAAAATAATGAGGTTTAGTTTCATGCTCCCCACTACTTGATGGCACTAAGAAGTTCAACAAGAAGAAAAAAAGGCCAAACTTTGGCAATGTCAATCATTTCCAGAAGAATAAAGCTGCAGCAAAGAACACAGAGATGAAGATAAAAAACATGGGTATTCAATGCCGGAAATGCAACGGTTACAGCCACATTCAATCTGAGTGTGTCAACACTCTAAAGAAGAAGAAGAAGTCTCTAAATGCGACGTGGAGTGATAAAGACTATGAAGGCAGTCAGGAGGATGAAGACCATGTGTGTACCTATATTGCTTTCAATGTTTATACTGATCAAGGTGTTTCTGCAAACAGTGTTACAAAAGGTGTCACAGACAGTGTTGCAACACGGCCTATAACAGATTCCATGAATAGTGAAAAGGAAGGAGATTTTTCAGATTCTGAAAGTAATAGTGATAGTGAGGAGTTAACTATTGATGCCATATAGGAAGCTTATAAGACCATGTTCAGCAAATAGGTTAAAGTGTGCGAAATAAATAAGTCTCTACGGGAGCGCGTCGATGATCTTGTCAGAGAGAATGATGTGTTGAAGAGAGCTACTGATAATTATGAATTGCTTGCTGCAGAGAGAGAAAAGAAATTGAAGGAAACAAGGGCTAAACTAGAGAGCACTCAGAAAAATTTGAAGATGATGAATTTCGGCATCGCCGAATTGGATCATATTCTCTCCATTGGAAAAGCAAGTTGTAA